AGACATGGCAGTAAAATAGAAATAAAAACAAAACAATCATCTTAAAAGGCCAAATCTGCTTCTAGAATGTTCCGAATGTTATATTTTATAGCATCATTATAAATTAGCTACGTTTCCAATCTAACAGAATCTAAATTATAACTAGACCAAAGCAATATATTACTGTCTTCTGTCCCTCTTCTTCCTAACCAACAGAAATCTTTGTTCACATGATGGGGGCTCTTCTGGCTCTTAGGGGCTGAATGTGGATTAATCCAAACCAAAAATAGAAATGACCAATTTCCTTGCCAGTTACTGGCTTAGTAAAGGGCATGTGACACTGGTCAATAGAAACTGACAAGTCTGCTGGAGGGTTTCTGGGGAAAGCTTTTCTTCCCTAATAGAGGCATGGGAAAAAACTCTTTTCCTCTTAGCTGCAAATGGTCAATGAATTACACATGGTGCCTGGAGAACAAAAAGATAAAAGGCAAAAAGGTAACATAGTTCAGCTAATGAATCAATCTTCCAGGCTTGAAATAGCCTAACTTCCAGACTCATTATGCGAACAATAGGTTTACTAACCTCTTATTGTTAAACCTACAAACTATATATTACCCAATGGATACCAACTGGATACTCCAACTGCAACTCTACAACTATAAATATGCACCATACCCAACAACTGAAGTTTCATTTCTCCCTGGGGGGTAACAATCACTTCACTAAATGAAAGTCTCCTCCATCCCACTTAAGATAAATACTTCTTACTTGGTCTAAGTTTTCTACCTTAAGCCAAGTTACTTTCAGATAGTGTTAATTGCTGACAGGCATATAAGAAAATTTGTTTTCCTTTGTCATGGTATAGAAATGAAAAGGATCAAATGACTACTCTTGGAAAAGTACTTGGCTATTTTGGATACTCCTCATAATGTTTTGATGAATATATACATACTCACATTTTCCCCCTTAATTACATGTATCACAAAGACAATAGCTCACCAGTGGACTATAATAGTATATTGGGCCACTCCATTCATTTGCTTAGGGAATCAAGCATATCCAAAAGGTATTATGGGTGTAAACAAACAAACAGCACAACTAAAACCTCCTATGAGAACAGAAGACCTTCCTCTAAAACAGGGAACAAATCTAATTGATCTTCCAGTCCTGACTATAGTGCCTGGCACAGAATAGTTCTTAAAAATGTGTTGAACAGATTTAAGTATGCTGACTTGAAATCAATAAATTGAGAACAGGAATACAAACAGAGAATGCTATCTCTCAATGTGCCAATTTTTTACATGTTTAGCCATTCTGAGTTGAATCCATCCTTCCACCACCCTACCATATCTCCCTGACCATACTCCTCTGAGCTGCCCTATAGCAATTAAGGGCCCCTTCAGGAACAGCTGCAAGAACTGCAAATACAGTTCAGCTTTTGCTGCTTACTAGTGAATAACAGAAGGCATTACAGAGCACTACATTATTTTGTTTCCCTTGTGAGGCTGGTGCTAGAGTGTGAGAAGTGAGGCTGCAGTGTTAAGTGGACGCCAGATGATGCTGGACATTAAGTAACATACTTAAGTTTAGATTCTATCCTAAAGGATTTTAGGGAGGAGAGAAACATGGTCAGCTTTTTATTTTAGATAAATAGCTCTGCAATTACGTGGAAGATGGATATAAAGGTGGTTGAGAAAAGTGAGAGATAACAATGTCAGGAGTAGAACAGTGGTGGCAGGGGCAGAAATCCTTTTAAGAGCTATTTCTAATCAGATTTATCATAGGCAACTTAATCTCAACATGTCCAAAACAGAACTCACCATTCCCCTCAAGTGACCCTCTACCACTCTTGTCTCCCGAAACGACTTAATTATTCACCAAGGAGTTCAAGCTAGAAACTTTAGAGCCATCCTTGATTTTATTTTCCTCATCTCCTATATCCAATTAAATACTATACCCCATAGGTTCTAACTCCTAGCTATCTCCCAAATCTATTCACCTTTTTCCACTTTGCCCACTACATCTTACTCCACCATTTTTGCTTTGGACTAGTGAACAACCTCCTAACTGTTGTACATTCACTCTCGACCCCTGAAATCCATTCTTCAAATTGCTTCCAAAGTGATGCTTCTAATACACCATGTATCATGTCACCATCTTGCTCAACACCCCTCAGTGGCTTCCCATTGTTCCTAGGATAAAGCCTACAACTCCTAACATGATCCACAAGATCCTCTGTTCTCTGGCTCCTGCCAAAAAACAGAATTCCTAACTTTATGGGTGTTTCTTATGTGCTAGGCACTGTGCTATGCTTTGTAAGCATTATTTCATTTTATTCTCATTGTGAGGCAGGAACTATTAGCATCATCCTCATTTTGCAGGTGAGAAAACTGAGTCAAGGAGAGATTACGTAACTTACCTAAGGCTGTAGAGTTCAGGTCTGACTCCAGAGCATGTACTTAAACTTTCACACTCTCCTCACACTGTATGCTCCAACCACACTGCATTATTTTCCACTCCTAAATTCACCTGCTGTCTCTTACCATGAGGCCTTCACACACACTATTCCCTATACATGGAATGTCCCTCTCACAAATCTCATTTTTGCCTGGATAATATCTATTCATTTCTGCTTAAATGCCATCTCTTCAGGGAAGTCTTCCTTTACTATCTAAAATTATATTGTTTATTTGTTTATGGTCTGTCTCCCTTCAGTAGAATGTCAAAACTGTTACCACTGATTCTCAGTTCTTAGAATGGCATTCATCAGTGGTTCAATTAACATTTGTTGAATGAAGGCATGAATGAATGATGTAGGGATGAAAACTTCCTAATCTAGTAACTTCATCTATTCAGACTAAGAAACAGTATTTAGTTAGTAGCTTCCAAGTCCCAGTCAACACTCTTGAGAACTTACAGCTGAGCCTGCGCGTCCGGAGCCTGTGCTCCAGAAGAGGAGCTCTGTCTCTCCCACAGGCTCTGGGAGAGACAGACACATAAACATTTGATTATAGCCCAATATAAGTAAAGTGCCTGTTAGAATTGTAGCTGGAATAATGTGCAATAGATGCAGAGATGAGAAAGAAGGCATAAATTGATGGGAAATCTTCACAGTAGAGATTCTTGAATCCTTTTGCAGGATGAATGAGTCTTGAAATACATATCACACAGTCCATGTATTTCTTTTATGAAAGGGGAGAGCAGCATCCATTACATATGGGGCACTTTACATCTCAGTTATCATAATTTATATTATTTATTATAGTAATACACCTCTGTATTATTATTACCATTTTATAGATGTGGAAATCAAAGCTTAAGAGAGGTCAAGTAACTTAACTCGTTCAAGGGTATGCAGTATATTAATAAAGGAGGAGAACCTGAGCCCAGGTCTGACACCAGTACCACTTTACTTACCGTTATGTTAGTCCTTTGACCCTGTACTCCCCAGAACCTAATTACTTCTGTTTTCAATCTAACTCTTAACAAAACTGGTTATCTGGTTTCCCATTCTAATATAAAAAAAAGTAGCAAAATAAAAGATTCAGGAAGACTGAAGCGAAGTATACCAACAGTAAGGTAAGGAACAGAAAGACTATAAAAATTGAACACACAAATTCAAACAAAATGTATCATACAGTCCTACATATACATTCCACCCTCAGCTGTACAAGAGTATGTACTTGATGTGCATAATGATGACCCCATTATGAAAAAAACGGTTGTTGTAGTCACTACACTAAGAGATAGAGAAATAACTTTTGATGCTCAAAGAGGTAAACTTCAAGTACTAGAATAATTCCTCTCTAGTAACTCTGGATAAATATAAATTGTAACTATTGTTTCCACAGTGTTTGTGAGAAGAAATATCCAGAGATCTTAGAGTCCTCATTTTATACACATTATTATTTTTCTGTTGCTTTAAACTGAATTCAAACCAGAAAAGAAAAACTGTTCATCTTAGCTTACATATATACCCAAGTAAATTATAAATTTAAAAAACTTCTCATACTGTGACTTTGAACACATGTGGATTGAGTAATTTAGACTGATAAGCTTAAAGACCATTTCTGACAATTCTTAATATCTAAAAATCTTTCCCTTAAAAAAAAACCTTCTAATAAATCTTCTAATAAAACAAGATAAATTGAATATGTACAAACAGGAGGAAAACTGTAACATCCTTTATCCTTTGCACTCACAACTTAAATAGGTATGTATGTGAAGAAAAAAAAAAGAATCAAACAACTTAGGGAAACACAGAGAAAGCTAGTTAAGTAACTGACCATAACAGTCTACCATTCACTCAACCTGAATCCAATTCTTCAATCTGCAGATGTCAGCTCCTTTATAACATGGGCTTTTATTATTTTATATAATTCTTTCAGGAAAAAAAGGTTGCATTTAGGGAACAGATTCTCGGGTTTTTTGCTTTGTTTTTAAGAATAAGAAGAAATTGTTTCACCAGTTACCTCGAACAAGCTTACTAGGAAACATTTCTTTATCATTTTAGAGGGTTTTAAACGTGAAACTTTCCACAGAGAACACTGTTTGTAGCAATGTGAAAAGCATACTGGCTACACTTCCCAACAACACATAAAAATGAATATAAGGAAAAGTAAGTATTTATTTGTACTTAACTGTAATTTTCACATATTTTGCCCAGGAGGAATGCATTTCTTTAAAAAAATTTTTTATACAGCAGGTTTTTATTAGTTATCTATCTTATACATATTAGTGTATACATGTCAATCCCAATCTCCCAATGGAGGAATGATGCATTTCTGCTAATACTCTCTAGAAAGACAATACTTGTTTAGTTGTATTTGAAAATTACTTTTACTTTAGTTCACCTTGTCCAATTTTAACCCCAAATTCAATGTTTTACAAAACAGTCTAAATTTAAGATGTTGAGTGGTTCAAATTATAACAACCTATTTGAAGCAAATACAAAGTGAATATCTGCAAGTAAAACTTCACATTACTAGATAAACAGTTGTACTTATAATGCTATTTCTTACCTGGACGCTCTTCAAAATAAACTCACTTTTCTCTCTTACATCTTTAAAGGGACACCTCTTAGAAAGCATAAGCAGATGAGCAAGAAGCTTATTCAACCCATCCAAAGAAACAGCATCTGAAAGGCCGTCTGCTGGACGATAAGGTGTCTCTTTCACCAAACGAAGACACTCGGCTTTTCTCACAATGATCTGCCTAATGTTTTCCAGTGCTGTCTCTCTAGTAGTTGAATCTCTACTGCACAGTCCATCCCATCTCACTTCACCCTCTTCTTCAGCCATGACAATTGGAGTTTTTTCTTTGCTGTCTTCAGTTACCTTTCAGTATGTCCCCCAAAGCACTTTGCATTTTTTAAAACGAGAAATGTAACAATAAAATCAGAGAACTCAAATCGTCATGAAAACATACGTCTGGGTGACATTTGGAGGCAGAAGTGTCTTCGATCTACAAGATAAGAGCTCGCCCTCTCCTTCTGCCCGGAGGGGCAGTCTTCTGGTCAGAGACTGAGAAAAAAAGTTGGAAAGTTGAAACCTTACAGCGCTGGCTTTGCTGGACAGGCAGTGTCGGGAAAGTGTTCTCCTCCGTCTCTCGGCGTCAGCGGATATCCTCACGTTGTGGAACTGTCAAACCCGTACTCTGCCCAAAAAGGCTGGTAACAGCTGAACGCTCACCAGCCATTCGGTGTTTTTTGTCTGTGCAGCCACGGTGTTCTCGGGAGCGTTCCCATCCCGCCCCTCCTCCGGCACCAGTCCCCGCCTTCCGCAGCTCCTCCCTCCCGGCCAGGCGCTGGCTGGGAAGGCTTGCCGAACCCTGGCTTGTTGGCCCCGGCGGCCAGAGACCCTGGCGCTCCCGGAGGGTCGGCAGCCTCGTGCAGCCGCTGTCTCGGTGGCGGCGTTGGGGGAAAGCGTCTCCGGCCTACCGGTCCGGACTCCCCGGGCAGACGCCGTTTCTTTTCCAATCCTTGCGTCCTCGCCCACCGCCCGCCAGGCCAGACAGGCACAGGGCGGCCCCGCAATCCCCGAGCGCGGGGCTGGGCAGCGAAACTGGTGGAGCGGCTGGGCCCGCGGCGCAGAGCCCGCCCCTTCACCCAGCCCCATCGGTGGGGCTCGGCCCAGAGGGCGGGAGCGGGGAGGGAAGATGGGGTCCTCACCCCCAGCCCCTCCCCTTTCTCCGCCCGGCACGAACGAGGAGCCGCCCCCGCCCCTGCGCCGTGTTCCCCGCCCAAGCAGACGCGACCCGCGGAGGCAAAGCCATTGGAAAAAACCCCGCCCTCCCACAGGCTACCTCCAGACCCCCAAGTCCGCGCGCGGCCGCCAACCGCTGCCGGCCGTTACGCTTGCGTGACGGCGGGCAGCGCGCATGCGCCTTAAAAGGCGGTTAAGCAGCGCCGGGGGGGCGTTTTCTGTGCTCTGAGGTTTGGATTCTTTGGCCTGAACAAGGGGAAAGGAAAATAAGGGACAACCGAAGTACACAAGCACGGCAGAGAGTGTAGCACAGACGTACACCTGGAAGTTCTTGAATCTAAATTTAAGGTCAGCCTAAAAATAGAAACGGTCTCTTTATTACGCTAAACCCAGGTTTAAGAAGGCAGGGCGTACTCGCATTGACTTCTGGGAAGTATAGTTTTGGTGCCCCCGGCGCGTTCTGTTTGCGACAGAAACTACAGCCCCCGTGAGCCACTGCGACGTAGCCTGTGGCGGCCTGCGAGCCAACGGTTAGCGTTGACGGAGATTGACTGAGAGCGTCGGTTTGGTGAGCACTGTGGGCTTGGTTGCCACTTTTCCTTTGACAGGATTTTTCCTTCCTTCATTTCCTCTGGGATTTTAGAAACCAAGCCATCTAGGGATGTATCCTTAGTCCAGGGACTTCTGTTAGTAATCTACGTGGGAAGGACTAGTCCGGGTGCCCAATCCCGAGGGCGCGTTGAGGCGAGAATTTGGGAATGGTTGCTCTCCTGAGGGTCGGAGGGTGCAGCCTAAGGCCAGGCAAGGAGGATGCTGTGGAAACGGGTGCTCCGCGCTGCTGCCTCTGCTTCCGCTCTCTCAAGTGGGCTCGCGCGGCATGGATTAGGTACCCCTATGCAATTGCACCTTTGTTTGCCATTGCACAGGGGTGTGGTTGATTTGCTCAGTCAAATGTCACCGCAAGCCAGGCTTTCAAAGAGAGTTGTCAAATCCCTTTTGTATGAGACTAAAGGAGAAAGAATCCCCGGTATTCCTAAATATGAATTTTTGCAGGCTTTAAGGATACAATATGAAAAAAGACTATAAAAATCTCCAAAATTTAGTATTTTTTAAAGATTCAATCATTTGTTTACAAATTACTGTTTGATTTTAAAAAGTCATTCCTCTTGAGGAAAGTCGACGTTTGAAGTGTTGTCGATGGACTGAAAACCAAATTAGATTTTAATCCTTCACGTTGCAGAATAGATGTGTTTCTTAAAACTTAGCCTTGTTAGGTACTAAGTATACAACAGTGGAAAAGACTGTTATCTAGTTAAACTAATGGTTAAACATACTACACAGTACACACATTAAACATAGTACTGTATCATTGGGATGGCTAGAAAGATTACTTAGCCCAGTCTTGGGAAGTCAGGGAAATCTTTATCTCAGGGAAAGA